TTAAAAATGAACATAACCAATCTATCGATATTATCAACATTGAATGATGATGATGATGATAAAGATTTTTCTAATAAACTTGCCATTATACAAGGATCAATTTATATTCCAATTTTTTGTGCTGGTATTGCAAATAATTTATTAACTATTTTAATTATGTTAATAAATCGAGATATGCATACAGTTACAAATTGTTATTTACTTAATTTAGCAATAAGTGATACTTTACCATTAATTGTTAGTTTACCATTTGAAATTACAGTAAAATTATTTTCCTTATAAATTTAAACTTCATTTATCTTTATTTTTATTCTAGTTTCTATCAATTAAACTTCCATGGGGACAACTTGGTTGTCAATTACGAAGTCTTCTTGCTGAAACTTCGACAAATGCTTCAATATTAACAATTAGGTAATAGAGTATGGAAAGAAAAACAGAAAATTTTAATATTTTAAGTTTTTTTTTTATTAAGTGCATTTACAATTGAACGTTATTTAGCAGTATGCCATCCACTTCATGCTTCATTTCTAGCAACGACACAACGAGCTTTTAAAATTCAAATACTTATATGGTTCATTGCCATACTTTCATCGACACCTTATTTTTACATGACACAAAAACTTGATAATATTTGTCAGCTTGATGAAAACTTTCGATTAATTATTCGAATATGTTTTTATATATCTGCAATAATATTTTTTGTATTACCTGCATTTATTCTTTGTTTATTATATGCATTAATGGCTAAACGTTTATATTCCGTTGGTTTACTTAATGAAGTACGTTGGTCAAAATCTAGTGGAACAGAATCATGTTCATCACCATTATGGTTACAAAAAGGTGAACAAGATAATACTGGTTTAGAACAACAATTTAAACAACAACGTCAATCATCAACACCATCAGTAGTCATAAGACATTCATCAACATTTCGTAGTCATAAAAATTCCTTACCTGGCCTATCAGTAAATATTCAATCAATGAAAAAATCTGCTTTTAAAATGCTTTGTAAGTAGATCTAATTAAAAGAAAATAAAAATATTTTCTATTAGATTTTAAGTAATACTGTTTATTTTTATCCTTGTCTTTCAAACTACTATGTATGATAAGTTTTGCTATAAAGATTCTTGTTTACAATATGACATTTACAAAGCCATAAATGATTATAGACGTTTTTATGCGTGATAGTATTATGATATTCTAAAATCTATATTTTATTATGTATATATAATAATAAGAGCTAATGTCTACAGAGAATATTTAAACTTACTGTAGTATAAAACTCATCTTTTTTTTCTTTATAATGAAATCTGTAGAAGAAAAATATTATTATTTTTGTAGAATTAAAATGTAACTAAAAAGATATATGTGTGTGTGTGTGAGGTCAATTTAGATTAATACTATTGTTGACTTACACATCAAAACTATTCAATATTTTTCTATTTATAAATGTGGATTTGTTAAGATTCCCCCTAAGGTTTTAATAAAAAAGAGATTATTTTGAGAAAAAGGAAATAATAAAATCTTCAATTCTTTGTCTCTTCTAGAAAAATCATAGATTAAATTTATTTATCGATCGTATAACGACACAATTGTTCAATATTCTAGAAATGAGATATTATCTATCTTTGAAATAGTTCAAAATAACTCTAAACTCTAGTCTAAATGAATAATATTGATTACATTATTTAATGCGATATAAACAACATGACAACTTTGTATAAATATATACTGTAAAGACAATTATAAAATAACAAAACCCTGGAAAAAAGATTATTGTTCTAATAATAGTTCCAATAAGTTTTTTTTTATTAATGCTCGAACAAATAGAAACACAATAAAAAAAAATTTTTTTTTTGTCAAATCTATCTATAATTATTTATTCAAAATTAATATACATATCAAGAAAAAAAAATTTTAAATTCAATTAACTTAAGATATGATATTAGTTCTTAGAATTAATCTACTTTGTTTTTAATGAATTTTTAAACCTATATCAGATTATTTATTCCGTCAAATAAGGGATTGAATGAATTAGTACACGATGAACTTTACAAATTTTTATTATCTATATTTAGTTGCTGTTGTTATTGCTTTTATTATATGCTATGCTCCATTCCATGTACAACGATTAATTACGAGTACTATAAATGTTTATCATTTATCATTGATTCAACGACGTGCAATAACTATATTTTATTTTATTAGTGGGATTCTTTATTATCTTGGTTCAACAATAAATCCAATTTTTTATCATTTATTTTCTCATAAATATCGTGTAGCATGTTTACGAACAATGAAAGGTATTATTCATTGTGAACGTTATCAACAACATCATCGTCATTATTCTCATAGAACAGATCCTCCATCTGAACCTATTGCACGTCTTGTTCTATATGCTAATACACGTCCAGTATCAATACATATGTTAAATAAAAATAAAGCAACAACAACGACACCAATAGAACCAATGTATCGAAGATCAAATAAACATAAAACTAGTGTCGATATAAATAATAAAAAACGACATATTTTAAGATTTTCATTACCGGTATTAAATACAGAACGTATACGAAAATGAAAATGATATCATTTTATAGTATTTTATTTTTTTTATTATATAGAAAGAAAAAATTGAATAAAAAGAAAAGATCTAGAATTTTTTTTTCAATTGCCATAGGTACTATTTACTGAACCTGCATCATCAAAATCATTGTCATTTGCTCCTATTGTTGATCGATTTCGTTGATAGTTTGATGATGATGGAATAGTATTTCGACGATTAGGGTCAAGTGTTGAATAATTACTTGGTCTTATT